CGCCATCAGCGGAGCGGTGGTGGCGGGAGACCAGGGGCCGCGGTGGGAAGGGCCAGTTGGAGCCTTGGAGGATGGGCCAAGATCCATCCCTGTGCCCACCGCAGCCTCTCGGCCCCAGTTCCTTTCAAGGTGCATGAATTCATGCACTGGGCCCCTAGTAATAATATATGAAATATTTGAAGAAATACACATAGAATAAAAATTAATAATACAAAACAAAGTATCAAAGTGATCCAAGTAGAACTTTCAGAAATGTAAAGAAGTTGAAATAAAAATCTCAAGGGGGTCTATGGGAGGAAAAAAGGGGCATATGTAATCCTTTCAGCAATTAAGAATTACTAAAAAAAACAAAAAACTAATCCAATATATGTGGAGTAGACATATTAAACATGGCAGAAGACAGAATTGTGAACTGAAGTATATGAATGAAGAAGTCACACAGTGCAGCCCTGAGAGATGGGAGATGGAAATGAGAATAAGAGAAAGTGGACGGTAGAAGAATAATGTGTGGTTGGCCTTCCAGAATGGAAGCACACTGTCCCACGCAGTATAAATGAAAGAAACACATACCCATGCATTGGAATCAGATAGCATGAGAGACAAAAGGGTCTTCAGTCTACAGGCCAACGCTCTATCCACTGAGCCAAACCAGCTAGGGCAATTTCTTCTTTTAACTTTTTTTATTTGTGTGTGTTTTTTGTTAATCCTCACCCATAACGCCGATGGGAGAGAGGCATATAGATTGGTTGCCTCCTGCACGTGCCCTGCCTGGGGCCAGGGTCGAGCTTGCAGCTGAGGCACGTATCCTTGACCAGAATTGAACCTGGGACCCTTCAGTCTAGGGGTGTCGAACTCAATCAGAGAAGGGGCCAAAATCTAAAATCCAGCCTAAATCGCGGGCCGAATGGTTTACTGAACAGTCATAAACTGTCATTGTGATGGAAACGCAGCGGAGTGCAGTGATGACAGCGCGGTGCGGGCCACATTGCAAGGCCTGGCGGGACGGATTTGGCCCGCGGGCCTTGTGTTTGACACATGTGCTTCAGTCCATGGGCCGGTGCTCCAACTACTGAGTCAGGCCAGCTAGGGCTTTACTTCTGATTTTGGATTTTTACTCATGTTTCAATTAGGCTATTTTTAGGGTCTGTCCCCCAGTTTAGACCTGGTCTCATTTGGTAATCAGTCGATTGTACAAATATACACTGCTTTCCATGGACTTGCATCACCATTTTTCCAAGCCACATAGAATTCCAGTTGTGCTTGTGAGTGTGTGACCACTGCTCTCTGGGAAGGTAAGAAAGCCTCCTGGGTGTAGGGTTTGTCTGTTAACAGTGCAGACACTTCCTTCCTGTGGATGCAAGCTCCAGCGTGACGCGCTGTGGTGAGCTTGGGGGAGGCACACACTCAGCTCTGCAGCCGTGCCGCCGCCCAGCACCCCGAGCTGCTTTCTGCAGCAGGTGACCTCTTCCCTCTCTCCTGCAGTCGGGATCTGTGGCCACCACGCACGGCCTCGCTTCTGCGCTCTGTGTGTGGGTAACTCAGTCCTCACAGCAGTTCCAGAAGTCCGGGATGCTCATGTTCCCGGCTCGCAGGTGCAGAAACCAAAGTACAAGGGTCACATAACTGGCTTCAGGCCACACAGCCAATCCAGGACTCGGATTGTGAATCTTTTAGATTCTAATTTCTCCTAGCAACAGTCTGTGCCTCCGTGTTCCTTTGTGAAGAGCTCGTTTGGAACTATAGGATCACGTGGCAGCGTTTCTCTTTGGGACCTACCTGCAGTCTGATAGCATGCTGACCAGAACAAGTAAATAGGGATGGGCAACTTGGGTTCCTTTCGGTGGCCGTTGACTCACGTCTGGAAGGTGCTGGTGATGCTTTGCTAGGGTTCCAGAGAGCTGGCGGCAGAGGCGTTGCCAGGGTGTGGAGGAGGCCTGCAGTCTCATGGCTGGACCTGCGGGTGGGGATGCCGTGGAAGTGTCGCCTGGGAAGGAGAGCGAGCGCGCCCTGCGGTGGGGCCGCTGAGCGGTGCCGGGAAGTGAGAGCGATGGGAGGAGTCAGTGTTTTCTGCCGCATTCCTGGGACATTGAAATTAGCTACAGTGCCATTGGGACGAGCTTTCAAAGGAAGCCACAGATGCGATCAGTATTTCTTAAAATGCATAGAAAACTGATGGGAGCGGAAGTGTCCTTATACAGGGATTTTTGACTTAATGGCGAAGCACAATGTGCTGATGTGAGCTCATGAGCTATGGTCTAAGTCAGTGTTTTTCAACCTTTTTTGGGCAAAGGCACACTTGTTTCATGAAAAAAATCACGAGGCACACCACCATTAGAAAATGTTAAAAAATTTAACTCTGTGCCTATATTGACTATATATAAAGTAATTCTCTTGAATAGGAATCAAATAAACACAAAGAAAGTATTTTATAATTACTTTATTATGAAATATTAAGTAAACAAAATAGTGAAAAATTATAAAATTCTTGTCTTGTCTGCACCTATGGCACACCAGGCAACATCTCGCGGCACACTACAGCGGTTGAAAAACGCTGGTCTAAGTTAATGGTTGTAAGAGTATAACCTAGTTTTATTTCATGTGTCATGTGGTGGTAAAATAATAGAGGTCCACAAATGCTGGTCTGTAATATGGGTGAAATGAACGAAATAAATGTAATGAGGTGAGTTTTTCTTAAAATGATATTTTTTGTAAGTGAGACATTATCCTTAATCCTAAAATGATGACTTTTCTTTTTTGATATTTGAAAGTCATTATTTTCTGAAATGAAGGTAATTGTAGAGGAGAGTTGTTTGGTTTTCCCCCCCTTTCTTTTCCTTTTCTCTTTTGTGTCTCTTTTTTCTCTCTATCTGCAGCCGGTCCTCAAACTCGGCACCGTTCTGTCAGTCACGCTCACATCACACTCCAGTCCTCACCGTCCTCACAGCCTCGTCACGGGGGCTCTGTCTCCCGAAACCCCTCTCCTTGCTCCTCTGCAAGCACCTCCTCCTCACTCAGGCTCTGTCCTGAGTTTGCAGCGACCCCGCCCGTCCTCATGCTCCGCTTCATGCTCCTCCTGCTGCTCCCTCCACACGGGCAGGCACGTCCTCTTGGAGGCCTGAGCCCTCAGGGCGGCCACAAGGGCGGGTGGGCCTCTCCCCGACCCTTAAATGCCTCCAGGACTCACTGAGGGTCTCTGTGCAGCGGGACAGGGAGACCTTTTCCATGGATTTGCCCCGATCCATCAGAGGAACCCCACGCGGCCATAGCTCATCACTGGCTTTTCTTCACAAGGAGATGTGGGAGTCAGTTAGTCCTTGACCCAGAGCGGCAGGAAGGCATGGAAACGGCCTTCATGGGCCCTCCACCAGGCGCCGCCGTGTCGCAAGCAGTGAGACGGGGAAGGGTCCTTTTTCTGAGGGTCGGTCTGCACGGGCTCACACTGTCCAGGGAGCTGGGGGCACATGCAGACACAGGCAGAGCAGGGGGAGCCGCACTCTCACGGGCCTGGACTTTCTAAACGGGAAGTGAGCTCTGGCTCCAGCTTCAAGTCACAGCTGCTGAGCTCCTATTAGGTCTAGTAATAATTAATGTCGTATTCTAATACTTTTTTAAATCGAATTCATTTAAACAATACAACAAAGTTTAATCAACAATATAGTTGCCGTAGTTTTCTACTACTTGTGCCCAACGCTCAGGAAGCATTTTAATCCCTCTGTTGTAAAATTCTTGTGATTTTGATGCAAAAAATTCGGTCAATGCATTTTTGAGGCATTCTTCATTATTAAATTTTTTTCCAAGAAGAAAGTTTTGCAAAGAACGAAACAAATGGTAATCGGAAGGGGCAATATCAGGAGAATATGCAGGTTGAGGGAGAACTTCCCATTCCAACTGGCGCAGTTTTTCAGCAGTGATTCTTGCAGTATGCGGTCGTGCGTCATCGTGGTGAAGAATTACGCCCTTCCGATTAATCAGCGCGGGTTCTTTTTCTCTTAAAGCTTGGGCTAACCTTTCCAATTGGGCACTATACACTGCACTTGTAATGGTTTGGTTAGATGGTAAAAGTTCATAATGAAGAATTCCTTTAAAATTCCACCAAACACACAACATCACTTTTTTCGCATGCAAGTCAGGTTTTGGCGTGGGCTGTGGAGCCTCATTTTTGTCCAACCATTGAGGCCGCCTTTTCAAATTAACATATAGCACCCATTGTTCATCTCCGGTAACAATTTGCTCTAAAAACGGCAAACGGTTTTGACGAGAGAGGAGCAAACTGCAAATTGTGACTCGTTGATTACGGTTGTTGTCGGTCAACTCATGAGGAACCCATTTTCCAAACTTTTGGACTTTGCCAAGTGCACGCAATTGATTGGAAATTGTTTTCTGTGAACAATTTAAAGTTGTCGCAAGCTCTTGTTGGGTAATTTGAGGATTTTGCACCAAAAGAGCTTGAAGAGCTTCTTGATCAAAATTGGACACACGGCCTCGACCACTCTTGTCATCTAATGAAAAATTTCCCTCGCGAAATTTCTCAAACCAACGCTGGCATTTTCTGGCGTTAACTGCATCTTGACCAAGAGCACTACAGATGTTTTTTGCAGCCTCACTTGATTTTCTTCCTAATTGGACCTCGTAAAGCATGCAGTGCCGAATATGCTCTTCATCTGCCATCTTCTTAGCCCTAGTTTTGCAACAAAAACCAAACCAAACACAAATTTTTTCAAGCAAAACTTGTTAATTGCACTTCACACGTTCTGTAGATACCACGTGTTTGAAGGTTATGTCAATACAAGTCAACGCCAAGCAAGATTTTAAACGAATGTTTAAAAACGACATTAATTATTACTAGACCCGATAGCACGAGCCAAGCCCCTTGTCCTGTGAGGCCAGGCGCCGACCTCTCAGCTGTGAGGTCCCGGTGGCGTCTCCTTCCCACCGGAGGCCCGTCCTCCACCTCGGAGGCGGGTAGGAGTCTGCTGAGAGGCTCCTCTGCACAGCTCGCTGCAGCTCAGCCCCTGCTGCCCCCGCACCTCCTCCAGCTCACGACCAGCCTCCCACCTCCACACGCTCCTCCACAGCCGCCTCCCCTCTCGGCCTCACAGGATGGGGGAGAGTCGGGCCTGCCCTGGAGTAGGCTGTGGCTGGAGGGAGTCCTGGCTGGTGGCCCTCTCCCAGAGCATGGACCCTGCCTCCTCCCCAGCTGTAGGCTGTTGCCTCTTACACGCGTGTTCGCTGGAGCAGCACTGTAATTTCCTTCCAGGACCTCTTGGCGGTCACAGCGTGCTCACTGTTTGGCCGAGAGGCCTCGCTTCCGGCTTCTCTTGGCGTTGGACAAGCCCCCTCCCCCTTGCGGGTCGCTTCTGCTTTTGGTGTGAAGTGAGAGGTCGGCTCTTCCTGCACGGGCACCTGGAGGCCATCGTGGGCTACGAAGGGCCTGCCTTCCGCCTTGTGTCTCAGGAAATAGGGGCCCAGGAGAGGGAGGGACCGTCTTGGTCTCATGGGGCAGTTTGTGGGCCCCAAAGAATGACAGGAGTGAGGTTAAGGGTCACTGATCACAGAGCACATGACGGTGGTGGCAGTGACAAGGTTTGTGTATTTCGAGAAAGGCACTGAGCACTGGCCGTTGGGGAGTGGTGCCAGGGGCTGGCGAGATGCAGGGCTGCACAGGCCTTTGGCGGGTGGATCGCACAGTCTCTGGAAGCGCAGTGAAGCCAGGCTGCCTATATTGCCAGAAATAACAAGGGGCATTTCAAAATGAATGAAGAGGCTGTTCATCAAGTTATAAAATCCTAAATATGTGTCCACATAATAAGATAAATTCTAAATACATGAAGCAAAAACTTACAAAATCAAGAGGAGACATGAATACTAGTACATCCACAGTTATAGGTGGAGACTGCAATCTTCTCATTATTTGATATAAGTAGTCACAAAAGCAGTTGTCAGCTGATTTTATCAGTTACCATTATCTTACTACTGTCAGCCGACTGGATTGACTCCCCAGAAGCAGAGAGAACCCAGTGTCCAGGTACACACACATTCACTGGGATGGACGTGCCCTGTCATAGGCAAGGATTGGGGAGGAGACTGCAGCTTGCATGCAGGTCCTGCCACTACTTGCTCTCTGCAGCTTGCAGACTGAGAATAGTTTGTTGTTAAGATTTTTAATTGATTTTCAGAGAGAGAGGAAGGGAGAGGAAGAGAAAGAGAGAAACATTGATGGATTGCAGTCTCTTGCACACAACCAAGGCATGTGCCCTGACGGAATGGAATCGACAACTTTTCTGTGCATGGGACCACGCTCAACCAACTGAGCCACGCTAGTCAGGGATCAGAGCAGTTTTTATGTTTTTAAAGAATGGTTAGGAAGAAGGAAAAGAACATGCAACAGAGATCCCATGTGACCTACAAAGCTGAAAATAATTCCTGCCCAGCTCTTTCTGAGAAGTTTGTTGACCTCCATGCTAGGCCATAAGTTAAATACCATTTCAGTTAAAGGAATGAAGTCACATAAGCCTGCTCTCTGAGCACAACAGAAATGAGATATCAGTAGCAAAGAGCTATTTAGGAAGTCCCAAAATGATTAGAAAATTAAGCATTATATTTTAAAATGTAAGTCCAAGAAAAAAATCACAAGAATCATTATGAATATAAAAATCTGTGGGATGCAGCTAAAGCAGTGCTCGAAAGAAACTTTGCAGATTTAAATGCTTATGATAGGAAAAAGGTCTAAAAAATCAATTATCTGACCAGGGTAGTGAGGTCCCTGGTTCAGTTCCTGGTCAGGGCACATGAACAGGTTGTAGGCTTGATCCCCAATGGGGGGAGTGCAGGAGGCAGCCAATCAATGATTTTCTCTCATCATTGGTATTTCTCTCTCTCTATCCCCCTTCCTCTCTGGAAAAAAAAAAATTTTTTTTAATAAAAGAAATAAAAAAATTTTTGTTTAAAAATATATTTTAGCCAAAACCGGTTTGGCTCAGTGGATAGAGCGTTGACATGTGGACTGAGAGGTCCCGGGTTCGATTCTGGTCAAGGGCATATACATTGGTTGCTGGCACATCCCCGGTGGGGGAGGGGGGTGCAGGAGGCAGCTGGTCGATGTTTCTGGCTCTCTGTCCCTCTCCCTTCCTCTCTGTAAAAAAAAATCAATAAAGTATATTTTTAAAAATACGTATGTGTGTGTGTGTGTGTGTGTGTGTGTGTGTGTGTGTGTATATATATATATATATATATAAAATTGATTTTTTACAGAGAGGAAGGGAGAGACATAGAGAGTTAGAAACATCGATGAGAGAGAAACATCAACCAGCTGCCTCCTGCACATCCCGTACTGGTGATGTGCCTGCAACCAAGGTACATGCCCTTAACCGGAATCGAACCTGGGACCTTTCAGTCTGCAGGCCGATGCTTTATCCACTGAGCCAGACCGGTTTGGGCTTTCCCAGCATGTTTGATGAGGGCAGCTCGTACCTGGTAGCAGTGAACAGGGCGGCACAGCAAAGTGAACCATCACGATTCGTGGTCACATGCTGTAGCCTTCCAGCCGTGCAAAACAAAGGCTTGACCTGTGTCTTTATATTTAAAGCCAGCTTTTTACCCCTGGCCGGCAGGTCAGGTGGTTGGAGCATCATCCCATACACTGAAGGTTGGCAGGTTCGATTCCCAGTCAGGGCACATACCCAGGTGCAGTCTCAGTGCCTGTTTGGGCATGTACGGGAGGCAACCAATTGACGTTTCTCATGTCGATGTTTCTCTCTCCCTCCCCATTATCCTTCCTTCTCTCCCAAATCAACAAAAAGATAGAATAAGTCATTTATATTCAGCATATAGTTAGTTGTTGCTGTTTAAATCTAGTCTGACCATTTCTGTCTTTAATTGAAAGTATTCATCAATGCACTGGTTGAGTTTACGACTGGTATCTTGCTGTTTTCCCCCCATTTGTCCCGTCTTTTTTGTTACTTATTTCTTCTTCTTTTTCCTTTTTATTTTTGTTGTCTTCCTCTGGATTACTGCAGTTCTTTTGGTTGATGGGATCTTGTGGTCCACGTGGCCACTCACCCACTCTGTGGCTGGAAGCATGACACACAGAAGCCAGCTCTAGCTGCCCTGTGCTGCCAAGTCTTGCTCCAAGCCTGGAAAAAGCCTTGCCAGCTGGGTCTCCCTGTGGCCCCTCCTCCCTGGATTGCACGTTATCGAGTGTGGGAGTCGCTCGAGAGAGAGGGGTATCTGGAGGTGGGGAGGCCATCTTTTGCCAGGTGCTTCTGGGGACCTCTGGTCCCGCAGTCTGGTGCTGCCCCCCGGTGTCCCCTCCACTCCTCCTGGGAAATCAAGGGGAAGGCGCCCGAGGACACACAGTGCAGGGCAAGTCCAAGCACCCAGCCTCTGTGTGGTGCCCTGCGCAGCCTGCAGGGCGAATGGGGTTGGAGGAGGGGCTGCCTGTTGCCGGGCAGAGGGCACAGGGGAAGGACTGCTTGTGCTGAGGAAGGCACAGCACCCCTGTGGCCAGGGGGCTCGGCGGGCGGGGGGTTTCCCAAGGGGCTGGGAGCCGTTGTGAAGCAGTCTGGTGAGGGGGATGTTAGGCAGGATGGGAGGAATGTGGAGGTGTCTGGCTTAGAAAAGGCCTCTGTGCAGCAGGGACAAGAGGCTGCTGGGGGGTCGGCTGGACAGCGAGGACACAGAGGACACAGAGCTCACATCGTGTGGGCAGCCTTTCTCTTCTAGGTCAAAGGTAGACAAGTCCATCTTCTCATTTGTTACCATAATTTTGCAAATAATCTATAATAATAAAAGCATAATATGCTAATTAGACTGGATGTCTGTCCTTCTGTACGAAGCTGGCCTGCAAGGGAAGCCCTGGTCCTGGGTGCCTGCCAGCGGCCGGAGGGTGGAAGGCCTACTCTTGCAGGGATTTCATGCATCAGGCCTCCAGTGATTCTTAAAACATTGCAAAGATTTATAATGTCACATGCAGGTTGACTGTGTTAAAGACCCAGGCTTTGTTCTTCATTCTGTGTCAGACAGGGACCTAGGCCCACAGACAGACACGTGAGGCTCCCTCAGCGGGACAAACCTCCTATCTGCAAGGCCAAGACTTCAGGAGCCTGGAGAGGAGTGTGGGGTGCAGAGGACACAGCAGCAGTCTCAGGGCCCAGCGGAGTGTGAGGGACATGTGGCTTTAGGATAACCTACTCAGCAAGAAGGCACAGTGAGGGGAGGTGCCAGGTAGTGGGAGGGGTGAAGCGAAGCAAGCTGTCTTGCTGAGATTGTATTCTATGAGATGTTTTTTAAAAATATATCTTTTTGCTGATTTCAGAGAAGAAGGGAGAGAGAAAGAGAGAGAGAAGCATCAGTGATGAGAATCATGGATCGGCTACCTCCTGCACACCCCACACTGGGGATCGAACCCGCAATCCAGGCATGTGCCCTGACCGGGAATCGAACCGTGACCCCCTGGTCCGTAGGTCGATGCCTAATCATCTGAGCCACACCAGTCAGACTCCGTGAGATGTTCTGTGTTCTTTTATGAGATGCTCAGTCAGGCACAGACACGAGAGGAGACTCAGAGTCTCAGGAAAATAAAGCTGTTACCTCATGGCCCCTGGAGACAGGAGGCTGCTCTTCATGCATGGCCACGTGGGGGACTCCGGGGTGCAGGGAGCAGAGGACAGGTGTCGATGCTTAGGCACAACCTCGGGGGCTCTACGGGAGAGGCAGGGCCTGTGGACAGGGTAGGTGGGCTCTAAGTCGCTGGGTAGTCCCTGGCTGCCTGGGCCCTGGCCCTGAGACAAAGGCAGGAGTATTGGCTGGAGGCAGGGGACGGCTGGGCATAGTGGAGGAGCCCTCTGGATGGGAGTGTGCAGGGGGCACAGGCCGGCCCCTGCTGGGCCCTCTGCTGCCTCTAAGATTGACCAGCCAGGGAGTGGCATTTCTCTCCAGCCAGAAAGGTGTTCTAAGATGTCAGAGCATCGTCTACAGAGAACTGAGAGTCCATACGATCCAGGGACATTGGGGGAGGTGTCCAATGTTCACTCTGAGGTGGAGTTGTGAATCATTAACTTGATTGGGGTGCAGAGGCATCCCTGTCCGACACGCAGACACCTCTCCTAAGGGGGCAGGGAGTGAGAGAGAGCACCCAGGGTGGGAACGGAGCTGAGGAAGGCGGTCAGCGAGCAGGGAACCGAATGCTGGACATGACGTCCCTGCTGACGTGAGAGCCTGACCAGAGAGGCGTGGGCAGAGCGGGTGCTGGGAAGGGCACCGTCTCCAGTGCAGGCCCTTGTGGGGACGGACTCTGGGACCCTGTCAAGTGCTGGGGGAAGTGACCCTCTGGTCTTTGCCTGCAGGTTTGTGGCCGTCACCATGTTCTGGAAGTTCGACTTGAACACCACGTCCCATGTCGACAAGCTGCTGGATAAGGAGGACGTGACGCTGCGGGAGTTAATGGACGAAGATGACATCTTACAGGAGTGCAAGGCCCAGAACCGGAAGCTGCTGGACTTCCTGTGTCGGCCACAGTGTATGGAGGAGCTGGTGAGCCTCATCACACAGGACCCGCCCCTGGACATGGACGAGAAGGTCCGCTTCAAGTATGTACCGGGCAGGGCTGCAGGGGGGGCAGGCTGCAGGGGGCAGGCTGCAGGGGAGCGAGCTGCAGGGGAGCGGGCTGCAGGGGGGCGGGCTGCAGGGGGCGGGCTGCAGGGGGGCGGGCTGCAGGGGGCGGGCTGCAGGGGAGCGGGCTGCAGGGGGGCGGGCTGCAGGGGGCGGGCTGCAGGGGGCGGGCTGCAGGGGAGCCGGGCGGGCTTCCTGGTGGACAAATGAGGAGGCTGCTCCTGGGGGGTGACTTGCATTCTGAGCTGTAGGGTGCCCATGGTGTGCTGGAGGACAGACCCCGGGAAGGGGCTTGGGAGACAATGGGCTCTGCTTTCCTCTGGGCCTGGGCTCAGCGGAATATGTCATTAGTGACCATTCTCAGTTTTTCCTAAAATGTCCCAGGATGTCAGAAGGAAGGGGTGTGGCGAGGGTCTGGCATAAGGACTGAGGAATTTGAGGATAGGAAGGTGACAGGAAGGGCAGAGCAGATGCAGCCTTAGGCTCTGAGGGTGCCCACTGGGGCCTGGGCAGCTCGTCAGGACAGATGGCCAGCTGGACAGGGAGTGGTGGGAGGTCTTAGAACAGGGTCACAGCGTCGACAAATGAGCCAGGAGGTTACGGTTCGATTCCTGGTCAGGGCACAAACCATGGCCTGCAGGTCACATCCTGTTTTTGTCTGACTTGCAAGCTAAGAATGGGTCTGTATTTTTAAATGGTTGTTTCACATGAAAATGATACCAAATTCGCATCTCATTGTTCATGAAGAAAGTCCTGTTGGAGCATAAGCACACCTAACCCGTTGGCAGTTACAAGGGCAGACTGGGTGGCTCAGCAGAGACCACCCAGAGCCGTCCCTGCCCGGACAGGACTGTGCTGCACAAGCCGGTGGGGAGTCAGGGGTGCCTGTGCTTGGTGAGGCAGGGCTGGATGGTGGAGGCGCCACGGCCTCGGCTCTAGTGCCTCTGTGGGAGGTCTGATAGGGGGCGCTGTGCTGGGGTGCTCCCGCTCAGCGTGTGGCCTCAGCCTCACGTCATCACCGTTCACAGCCCCCCCCCCTCACCCTCTCGCTCCCCATGTGGTCTTCCTGTCGGGAGGGTCGGCGACAGGCCTGAGGGAGGAGGGCAGGGCTGGGCAGAGGGGTCCTGGAGCAGCATCCTGGGCCAGGGAAGTTTTCTCTCCTGATTCTGAAAGAGATTAGTGACAGATGGTAGAAAGCCAAGCAGACAGGGCAAGGAGGAACTATATTCGCTCTAGGGCAGTGGTTCCCAACCTTTTTTTTCGGCTACAGCCCACCTAAGTATCTCTAAATTCCTGATGCCTCCTGTGACATATAATTCTTTTTTATAAAATATATTTTATTGATTTTTTACAGAGAGGAAGGGAGAGGCATAGAGAGTCAGAAACATCAATGAGAGAGAAAAACCAGTCAGCTGCCTCCTGCACACCCCCTACTGGTACATGCCCTTGACCGGAATCCAACCTGGGACCCTTCAGTCTGCAGGCCGTTGCTCTATCCACTGAGCCAAACCAGTCAGGGCTATAATTTTTATTTAAAAAGTGAACTCCTATTCACATGGAGGAAGCCTAAAAGACCATTAACTTGGTTTAAACAAGCTTCCAAAGAACATGGCATCCATGAAAGAGAAAAAGGAACAAAAAGACATTGAAATACTAAGGAAGAAATCACTAAGAAATTGTTAAAAAAATAATATGAAGTGATATAAAAAAAAGTAGCAAATAACGTTTCAAAACATAATAGAGAACTGAAATGCATAATATGTCACATGTATATTTATAGACTGTATATGAGGTCCCTAGAACCACAAGAAATGCAAAATATTCACTGTTAATAACTCATTCTCAAAATGCCCCCTTAAAAATCAAATTGCCCTCCTGGGGGGGGCCTGTGCCCCATGTTGGGAACTTCTGCTCTAGGGGAAGGAAACAAGCAAGCAAACACCCAGCTGAGCAGGTGCCCAGCTGTGGACTACGTGTTCCCACCAAGGCGAGCCCTGGGTGTGGGCTCTCACCATCTGCTGCATACCAGGGGCCTTGCAGTCTCATTCGTGGCCTTCGGCACAGGAAGCCTCTGTGTTATTTCTTCGATAACTTTCTCTCTCCCAGGTTTCCCTCTGTTCTCTCTGGCAAATTGATACTTCTTATTTTTCCCCCTAATGTCTTGTCTTTGCCTTTGTTCTACATCTGAGAGGTTTCATCAAATTTTATCTTCCTCCCTTTTGTTGATTTTTAAGTTTCCTGTTATCATTTGTTATTTTTCATCTTTTAAATACAAGCCTCTGGCCCTTTTAAAAATTATTTTTACTGATTTCAGAGAGTAAGGGAGAGGGAGAGAGAGAGAGAAACATTAATGATGAGAGAGAATCATGGATCAGCTGCCTCCTGCATCCCCCCAACTGGGGATCAAGCCTGCCACCCAGACATGTGCCCTGACCGGGAATCGAACCTGGGACCCTTCAGTCTGCAGGCTCAGAGGTTTGTCAGTGTTTCCCTCTGCATCCTAAGAGGCATATTATTTAAGCTATTTTCCCGAGAGTTGGAGAAGTCTAATTTCACCTCCAGTTGCTGGCATTGTGCCCTTTAGGTACCCGAACACGGCCTGTGAGCTGCTGACATGCGACGTGCCGCAGATCAACGACAGACTGGGTGGGGACGAGACTCTGCTGAACCTCCTCTACGACTTCCTAGACCACGAGCCGCCTCTCAATCCTCTGCTCGCCAGTTTTTTCAGCAAGACCATCGGCAGTCTCATTGCAAGAAAGACGGAACAGGTAAAAAGCATGCCATGTCCGTGTAGTCGGGGTGGTGGCCTGGCGGACGACGTGTCAGCAGGCGGAGGACTCAGTGGAGCAGTGTGGGCGGCTGACCTGTGAGGTGGAGGTGGAGTAAGAAGGTGGCTTCCCAAGAGGTATTCTGCTGCCGGCTCTGCAGTCGCAGCGCTTCCCACCACGCCTGGGAGCCCAGGCCCCAGCCGCAGGCGTGAGTCCTGGCAGGATTGTAGCTGTCCGTCCTTGAAGGCACGTGCGCCATCTGTGTGGGTGGCCAGTGGCAATGTCTAGGGCACTTCCTGTTTTAAAGCAAATTAAAAAAAACTTCTAGCAATCAGCTTCTGTGAAATAGTGAGTGACTCCTTTTCTGAGCTTGTCTTCCTGGAGTCGGTGCTGCTGGTATCACATCCAGCGGACACTTGCTTCAGTGCCTCCCCCTCTGCAGACGAGCAGACGAGAGCCATGGACAGCTGCAGAGCACTTTGCACCCGGGCCGCCCAGGTCCCTGGGGCCTGTTTGAGAGCATTTCATCCCTGTAGATACTTACATCTCTTAAGTACAAGATGTTTTCAATCAGCTACAGGAGGGACAGGCTTTGTTGAGCAGATCCCACGATCACACCCCACACGGTTAACCATGATGACTTGGTGTCTTCACGTCCTAGGCGTGGGACAGCCCCATATTCCGTGTCTGCCTGGAGCTCTGAGAGGTGCAGCCCGGCAGAGCATGGTGGGCGGGAGGGGACCCTGTGGCATGTTGGGTCTTCAGTGGACTGTCCCCATCATGGGGTTGTAAATCTGAGGTTTGCAGGGGGCCTCCGAGGACTGTCTCACCTCAGATACTTTGGAAACTGGCAGAGAAGGGGTGAGGGCTCGGCAGTGAGTCTCGGTCCCGGAGTAGCAGTGCTGCCGGGGAGCGGGGTTCACCAGGTCCTGCCCGCCTTCCAGACCAGTGCTGCACACGTGTGTCCCAAACCACTCTACTTCCAGATTCACACCGTCCGGATTTTCCTGCCGCTTATAACACCTCCGTCTTCTTCCCTTACCAATAATATGGACTGCACTCCTAAAAAATAGTTTTTTTACTGACAAAGGTAACGCATTTAAATGAAATTCAGGTAAGACAGAAATACAGAAAGCAGTCTTAGGTGACACTCCAGGGGAACCACTGCTGATTGGTACTTTAAATTTTTTTCAGTGTGTGTCCACTGCCCAAGCTCAGGTCATCGTCCAGCACTTTGCCCTTTACACCCATCCCCTTCCCTCTGATGGCCACCACACTGTTGTCTGTGTCTGAGTTTGCTTTACATCCCACATAATGAGAGAAATCATATGGTTCTTAGCTTTTACTGACTGACTGATTTTGCTTAGCATGATATTCTGAAGGTCCATCCGTGTGCGTCTTTTCTTATGGCTGAGTAATCCTCCATTGTGGAGCTCTGTGAATAATGCTGTAATGAACATAGGGCTGCATATCTCTTTGTGAAGAAATGTTTTCAAGTTTTTCAGGTAGATACCCAGAAGAGGGATTGCTGGGTTATATAGTAACTTTATTCTTTTATTTTATTTTATTATTTTTTTAAATCCTCACTTGAGGATATTTTTTCCATTGCTTTTCAGAGAGGGAGGGAGGGAAGGAGAGAGAGAAAATCATCAATGTGAGAGAAATACCACCTCCCCCACATGCCCTGACTTGGGGCCAGGAGCGAACCTGCAACCCACGTATGTGCCCTTGACTGGGAATCAAACCCACAACCCTTTGGTGCGAGGCCCGATGCTCTAACCACTTTGCAACAGGGTGGTAACTCTGTTCTTAATTATTTTTAGGAACCTCCATAGTGGCTGCGCCAATTTACATTCCCGCCAGCAAGAGTTCCATTTTCTTTTTTTAATTTAATCTTTTTTTTTTTTAATATATATTTTATTGATTTGTTGTTACAGAGAGGAAAGGAGAGAGAGAGTTAGAAACATCGATGAGAGAGAATCATCGATCAGCCGCCTCTTGCACATCCCCTGCTGGGAATGTGCCCACAACCAAGGTACATGCCCTTGACCGGAATCGAACCTGGGACCTTTCAGTCCGCAGGCCGACGCTCTATCCACTGAGCCAAACTGGTTTCGGCTAATTTAATAAATCTTTATTGTTCAGATTATTACAATTGTTCCTCTTTCTCTCCCCCCACATAGATCCCCTCCACCTGGTTCCCACCCCACCCTTTGCCCTTACCTCCTCCCACTGTCCTCATTCATAGGTGTATGCTTTTTGTCCAGTCTCTTCCTGCACACCCCTTTTCCCCTGAGAATTTTCAGTCCACTTCCTTTCTATGTCCCTGATTCTGTTATATTCACCAGTTTATTCTGTTCATCAGGTTTTTAATTCACTTGATTTTTAGATTCACTTGTTGATAGATATGTATTTGTTCAAAATTTTTTATCTTTACCTTTTTCTTCTTCTTCTTCTTCTTCTTAAAGAATACCTTTCAGCCAAAACCAGTTTGGCTCAGTGGATAGAGCGTCATCCTGTGGACTGAAAGGTCCCGGGTTCAATTCCCGTCAGAGGCATGTACCTTGGTTGTGGGCACATCCCCAGTAGGGGGTGTGCAAGAGGCGGCTGATCAATGATTCTCTCTCATTGATGTTTCTAATTTTCTATCCCTCTCTCTTCCTCTCTGTAAAAAAAATCAATAAAATATGTTTTTAAAAACTTTTAAAAAATAAAGAATACCTTTCAGTGGTGTTGATGAACTCCTTTAGCTTTTTCTTATCTGTGAAGTTCTTTATCTGACCTTCAATTCTGAATGATAGTTTTGCTGAGTAATTTTGGTTGTAGGTTCTTGCTATTCATCACCTTGAATATTTCTTGCCATTCCCATCTGGCCTGCATCGTTTCTGTTGAGAAATCAGCTGACAGTCATATGGGTGCTCCTTTATAGGTCACTAACTGCTTTCCTCTTGCTGCTTTTAATATTCTCTCTTTGTCTTTTGCTCTTGAAATTTTAATTATGATGTGTCTTGATGTGGTCCTCTTTGGATTCCTTTTGTTTGGGGTTCTTTGCGTTTCCTGGACTTGTAAGACTATTTCTTTCACCAAGTGGGGAAAGTTTTCGGTCATTATTTCTTCAAATAGGTTTTCAGTATCATGTTTTCTCTCTTCTTCTGGCACCCCGGTAATTCTGATGTTGGTATGCTTGAAGTTGTCCCAGAGACTCCTTACACTACCTTAATATTTTTGGATTCTTTTTGCTTTTTGCTTTTCTGGTTGGGTGTTTTTTGCTTCTTTGTTTTCAAATCTTTGACTTGATTCTTGTGTTCCTCTAGTCTGCTGTTGGGTCCCTGTATATTATTTTTTATTTTAGTCAGTGTATGTTTAATTTCTAGATGGTCTTTTTTCATATCCTTGAGGGTCTCGCTAAATTTATCAGCCTTTTCTAGGAAATTCTTGAAAAACCTTATAACCGTGATTTTGAACTCTTTATCCAGTCGTTTGTTTTCCTCCACTTCTTTCATTTGTGATCTGTTTCTTTGTCTCTATAGTTTTGCTGCTTCCCTGAGTTGGTAGGGTAACTTTGTGTGCTAGGTGTCCTATAGGGCCCAGTGGCTCGGCCTCCCCAGTTACCTGAGGTGGATACTCTTGATGCACCCCTTTGTGCATTGTGTGTACAGCCTTGTTGTAGTTAAGTTTTTGATTGTTGTTGGTATCACTGGGAGGAACTGACCTCCAGGCCAATTGGCTATGAGGATCAGCTGTGTCTATGCCAGGAGAACTTCTGTGCTGGAGACAGCCTTATGAGATAAGACTTGCAAAATTGCAAAAGCCTTTGTGCTCAGTTTGGATGGGCTGAGCAGACAGTCTTGGCTTCCCGTCAGCCCTGCCCTATGATGCCCCTGGGTCTCAGTGTCCCTCGGTAATTGCTGCAAGCACCTCTAAGAGTAAGCCACCCTCGGGTTTCGCCCTCTGTCAAACAGTCCAGTTTCTCCCCCAGTGAATCTGTATTTCCAGATTCTCGCCCGGAACTGGAGTTCAGCGTAGCGGGGGAGCTTCTGTTTCCCACCTGCTGGAGAAAGCCAGCGGCATTCATTAGAAAGTCCTCTCTTCGCGCACTTGCACACACACCTCCAGACCTCTGCCTTTCACAGCTCCCCTGAGTTTCCGCCTGACAGTCAAGATCCCCCCGCCCCCCGTATAACCCTGCATCCCCAGGGTGTCGCCCGGAACTGGGGTTCAGTGCAGTCAGGAGCTTCTGTCTCCCTCCCGCTAGATAAAGCCAGCGAGGCACTCAGCTGCCCGTGCACACATATCTCCATACCTGAGTCTCAATGTGCTTTCCTTCTAGTTGTAGGATTTCCACTCAGCCAGCTTTCCTGTGGTTCTGAATGATGTTCGTTTTGTCTTTAGTTATAGTTTTGAAATTATTGTGTAAGGCAGCAGTTTAAGTATTTACCTATGCTGCCATCTTTGTTTCTTGAGTTTCATTTTCTTCATAACCTCCAACACTTGTCATTACTTGTCCTGTTGGTAAAAGCCATTCTAACAGGTGTATCTAATTTAGGGTCCATTTGCATTTCCCTCATAGCTGGTGAAGCTGAGCATCTTTTCATACATCTGTTGGCCATTTGTATGTCATCTTGGGAGAAGTGTCTGTTCAGGTCCTCTGCTCATTTTTTTAATTGAATGGTTTCATCCTCAGTCAGGGTGCATACGGGAGGCAAATGAGCGATGTTTTTTTCTCTCTTTCTTTCTCTCTCTCTCTCTCTCTATCTCTCTATCTCTTTCTCTATCTCTCTATCTTTCTCTCCCTCTCCCCTTCTCCCTCTCCCCCTCTCCCCCTCTCCCCCTCTGCCTTCCCCTCTCCTCCTTTCCCCTCCCCCCTTTCTCTCTCTCTTCCAAAACCAATAAAAACATATCCAGGGGCGAGGATTTAAGAAAAAAGCGATATGCATTTTATTCCCTGTGTGGGTTGTATCTCCACCATCACAGTCAAGTACCGAGCAGTTCAAACCACCTTGGTGTGGCCCTTTTTTTTTTTTTTAAACATATTTTATTGATTTTTTACAGAGAGGAAGGGAGAGGAATAGAGAGTTAGAAACATTGATCAGCTGCCTCCTGCATACTCCCCACTGGGGATGTGCCCACAACCAAGGTACATGCCCTTGGCCGGAATCGAACCTGGGACCTTTCAGTCTGCAAGCCGACGCTCTTGTCCACTGAGCCAAACCGGTTTCGGCTTGGTGTGGCCCTTTTAACTGCTCCCACCTTTCTCCTGCCCGGTACCGTCACACATCCCCAACCCCTGTAACCACTAATCAGTTTCTGTTTCTAAAATTGTGTTATTTCCAAATGTTTGGCTAAACATATAATACATGGCCTTTGGGAATTAGCTTTTTTCTTTGTCAGCGTAATTCCCTGTAGTGTCCTCCAATTGTGTGCTTCGGTGGTGTGTTGGTGTACTCCTTTTTATTGCCGAGGAGTGCTATGGTCTGTGGACCCACAGTCTGTTTATCTAGGCTGATTTCTGTAGTGCTTTCCCTCATTTCATTCCCAGTAATCTCTCTAGGAGCTTAATTATTCATTTCAAAGAGCCCTCCTCCCACCTCTTTTCCTCCTGTGCAACCTCTCCCTCTTCCTCCTCCGTTCCTCCTCCTCCGTTCCTCCAGCTCAGAGTGTGGCTGACCTCCCTCAGCAGGGCTTCTTCTCTGTGTCCTTGTTCCTGTGGAGCTCTGGGTCGGCCCAGCACAGTGACCTGGATAGACAGGCACTTCATCTCGGGCTTAGCTGAGCTAAACGTGCACACATGCAGCCCAGAGGGACTCTGCCCAGTCTGCCTCCTTCACCTGCTCGCTCACCTGCAGCCACCTCTGAGCAGCCCACCCAGGTGCTGGCTGCTCCCCCCCATGGCTTCATGCTTCATACTTGGCTGTTCTCATCTCTTTGGCGTGGTCACCAGCCAGCCGCACATCCCTGCCTCTTCCTCTTCCTCCTGAAGCCGCTGCCCTGGCTCCCTTCCACCCTCACGGACCTGTGGTGACTCTGCTCTCCAGGTTGGCGTCCCGGCAGGGGCTGTCAGCAGTGACCGTCCTCTCCTCTCAGCTCTGCACGCTCGTCGTTCTATTGAGGAAACGAGCCAGCATCCGGAGTGTGCGGTCTCGCTTGGGCAGTGGTGTCATGTTTCCATGGAGGCTCACCTGCAAGCAAACCTGTCCTCCGGTCCTCGCCCCTCCCCTGCCTGTAGGACTTCTGAGTCTGGGTCTCTGCTGTCCTCGCAGAGGCTTGCTTATAGCTTCTTAGGTCTTCCCGGTGTTTCTGCTCGGCTTGATGGAAGTCACCTTTCCCAGGAGTGATCCCCTCAGGGGCATCTGCAGGGGCGGGCTGGCCCCCTGCTTACAGGTGTTTGGCTTCAGGTGATCGTGTTCCTGAAGAGGAAGGACACGTTCATCAGCCTGGTCCTGAAGCACATCGGCACCTCGGCCCTCATGGACCTGCTGCTTCGCCTGGTCAGCTGTGTGGAGCCAGCTGGGCTCCGGCAGGAAGTCCTGCAGGTGAGTGTGTGGCCCTGCGCTCAGCCGGTCCCTCCGGCGTGTCTGCAGGTTCCTGATGGTGGTCGTGGCTTGCACAGTGAAGGGCTTAGCACTGGCGTGCTGGGCACTCCCCGCTTCCCAGGCCGCGTGGTGCCTCCCTGAGGCCATCGGGCTCCGGTCAGGGCTGGGCTGGACTCTGCACCTTTTCCATTGTCCTTTCTCCGTCCATTCAGAAGCAAGAGCAGAACGTTCCTTCTACCCCCACCTCTCCAGCCTCTGTTCAGTGACCAAGCAGAACCCCAACTTTCCTTACCTCCCGTCCCACCCCTCGGCCTGAGGCAGGACCTCCTGTGGCTCTGTGCCCTGCAGACCTGAGAAAGGCAGAGCCAGGCAGGGAAAGGCAGAGCCCACGGTCCTGTCGGTTGTCCTGCAGTGTGTGCCCGTGTCTGTCCCGATGGTGTGTCTGTCCCGAGGTGCTTACGGCCGGCCGTAGCTCCCTCAGGGCTTTCCCAGAAACGGGGGGAAAAGAGGGCTTCCCAGCCCAGAGAGGCAGGAGGTCAGTGCTGGCAGTTGTCCCTGGTGCCTGGTGGGTGTGCAGTTTAAAGTAGGATAAACTATTGGTCCTCCTCACCCATGTCCCAGCCCCTGGAACCCGTGACTGCTCATCAGGGTGGCAGGGCTCAGTCCTAGGCTAATAGCCCGGCCTGGGTGAGCCTCCCACTAAGACCAGTCACAGCCCACGCCCTTAGTGGGCGCAGCATCACGTCTGCTGTTCTGAGCTGGAGGGAAGGCTCCCTGCACAGTCCTGGGCGCACATCATCCGTCTGCCCTTGAACCCCCCAGCGCCCAGCACGTCAGCCCTGGAGGGCTCCTGTGGCCTCACCAGGGTCACAGGTTCTCTTCCGGGTCAGGCTCCCACCCAGGTGGGGGGTTCAACCCTCAGGGCACATACGGGAGGTAATCGATCGATGTTTCTCTCTTCCTTTCTCTCTAAAAAAAGAAAAGACATGTCCTTGGATGAGGATTAAAAGAAAAAGGAAAAAGCAGCAGCTGCTGCACTGGGAGGGGTGGTGCTCGGGTGCTCCAGGCAGAGCTGGCGTGTGCGCGTCCACCCCGTTAGGACACGGACGGCGCTTCCTCCCCATGGACGTCAGGTCGCTGCCTGTTCTCTCTGGGCCTGGGGCACGTGCTGGGCCAAGAGCCTGTGTCTGCATATGCTGGCATATGCACGCCACATTGGTGCGCGTGTAGGTTGTGCGTGGTGTTCCACACGCAGAAGGACGTTCCGTGTGGTTAGATGTGAGCAGAGCCGTCACATCCTCCTTTCCCTTCCAGTGGCTCAGTGAAGAGAGGGTCATCCAGAGACTCGTGGAGTTGATCCACCCCCGGGAGGATGAAGACGTGAGTACACGTACACGCCTCAGGCCGTGGGGCAGCGCCCGCTGCTGCGTCCGAGGGGCAGGGCGGCCTTTCCGCCCAGGAGGACATGGCACAGCTCTGTCCATCTGTCAAGCACTGACTCGGAGACTTTGTTACTGATGAGTAACGCGCACGCATTATAGAGCTGCTCGCACAGAACTGTGTGTTTCCTGTGCTTGAGTAACACATTGCCCCAAAACTCATTTGCTCACAACAGCAAGTAATTTTTATCTCTGTCTCTGTGGGTCAGTGATGTGGACACAGCCTAGCGGGCCCTCTGCCCAGGGCTCGCCCGGGGGAGGAGGCTTGCTCACAGGGTCACTGGTGCCTCGGTCACTGGGCTGTCTGCAGGACTCGGGCCCTTGGGGGCCTCTCCACAGGGCAGCCCGCAGTGTGGCTCGGCTTCCCTCGGGGAGAGCAGGCGGGAGAGGCTCCTCAGACTCTGCTCTAAGCGAGAGGCTCTGCTGCGCTCTGCTCCCTGCAGGGGAGTGTCTGGTTCTGGCTGTGCTCAAGGCCGGGCTGGAAGGGAGAGCTCTGGCCGGAAGTTCTCCTGCCAGGGAGAGGCATGGGGGTGCCAATGGAGTCTGTCCCGCCATCCCCCAAGGGTGTCTGCGCCGATGCCCCTGAGCCTGAGCGTTGGGGCTGACGGGCCTGTCCACGGGCCACAGGGCCTGCCTGGCTGCTCCCATTTCTCCCCGTCCTTCAGCCGAGTGTCCTGATGCCGACAAGGGGCCAGGCTGCACGTCTAACCGCGTCCACTGCCCCGAGGAAACCCCGTGACCCACAAGTGCCCTGGGTCAGTTCTACACGTCCCCGTGGTCACGTTTCCCTCAAAAGTCGATCCTTTGTGTCTGTTTTCACGGGACTCCTCTGAGTAACAGGAGCCCCTTGTTAGGGTAAAAGATGGGACCCGGGAGCTGGTCCCCTATGCAGCGCAAGTCGCCGTGGTCCGAGGGGCAGGCGCCCTGCGAGCCAGTGGAGCATTGAGAGCCTGGGAACTCGTACCTGCCTCAGAGCCCGCTCGCCAGGAGCCCCTCCCCGGCCAGGCAGTCTAGTGCGCCTGACAGTGGGAGGCAGAGCAGACACCGCGGGAGTGACCTGGTTTAGAGCGTGTCCCCAGCTTCCAGAAGACGAGCAGCGGCTCTGTCCGCCGGCAGGTGCTGACGCGGCCCCGGGCTCTGACGGGCGCCGTGTCCCTGTCTTTGCAGAGGCAGTCCAACGCTTCCCAGACGCTCTGTGACATCGTCCGGCTGGGCAGGGAGCAGGGCGGCCAGCTGCCCGAGGCCCTGGAGCCGGACCCCCTCCTCGCAGTGCTGGAGTCGTGAGTGCTGTGGGCTAGTGGGATGCTGGCAGGCGCTGGTGGGATGGGGTCTCTGAGTTAGGGCGCCCTGGAAGCAGGTTCGGACTCGGAGGAGCTGGCTGTGCCATGCTCCCCGGACCCAGAGCTAAGCCCAGGGCCTGTTTCCCCGGGGAGGGCTCTAGGCAGGGGCCCGAGTGCAGGCTGGCAGGGCACACCTCCACGGGAGGGGGGGAGGGAGGCGTGCTCTGTCTGCTCTGCTCCAGGCAGTGACCGTGTGTGACAGGCAGGACTGCGTGGAGCAGCTTCTGAGGAACATGTTTGACGGGGACCAGACGGAGAGCTGCCTCGTCAGCGGGACGCAGGTGCTGCTGACCTTGCTGGAAGCCAGGCGGGCTGGGTGAGTGCCTCGTGGGGAAGCATCGCCCTCACTGGGCGCCACCCTCCCGGCAGGCGGCTTGAGTGTGGGGAAGTTCTCTCGAGGCCTCAGGCAGCCACCAACCTCTTGAGACGAGGCTGTGGGGGTGTTGGGCAGGGGAGGGAGCTGCACGGAGCCGGGCTGTCCCGCCTCCATCTGCTTCCTCATCCACAGGACAGAGGGCCTGGTGGACGCCTTTGCTCAGGGATTGGAGAGGCTGTGCCCCATCAGCCGCAGCGTCCTGCATGGCATCGAGCCCAGGCTGAAGGACTTCCACCAGCTCCTGCTCCACCCGCCAAAGGTACGGGACCTCAGACAGCAGAGCGCCCCAGGTGACGCGGACGCGTGGACATGCTCCCTGCTGTTCCCTGACCTGATGAGGACCAGGCGGTGCCAGCGCCTGTTCCGGGCCCCCTGCTGCATGTCCGTCTGCACGGGGACTGGGGATGGGCCTTTTGCAGCCCCCTGATGACTTGTATTCTGAAATAGGGTCGTCTGAGAGCCCACATTCACCGTCCGCCTGGCCTCTGAGTTAGGGCACCCAGCCAAGGGCCAGGGATCCCAGAGGAGGCCCCTTGCTCAGCTCCGCAGCTCGAGAGGGTGCTGGGGTCACGCTGAGGAGACTCGTTCTCTCACTGTCCCCCAGGCTGCCTCCCCGCCAGAAAGTAAGCTTCACCGAGGTAGAGGTTCTGGAACATTCTGTTAGCAGAAAGGTAGCTACAGGACGCTGCATGTGCGGATCAGAGAAGACCCGTGTGCAGCCTCCTGAGTTTCCAGGTGGCCCTGAGAGCGCTGGTCCTGCCTCGCACCCCGGTCTCACACTCCAGGGTGCTGACCCCTGTAGCTTGGGGAGCCTCTGGGTGCAGACCCCGCACTCACTCTGATGCCTCCTTCCCTCTCCAACCAGTGCTCTCTCGAGGAAGGCCCCCTCCTCCCTCCGAGCTGTGCCACAGTGTGGGCCCCAGGCAGGCCCTGGAGCAGTGGTCACGCTGGGCTGCCAGGGTCAGTGAGTGCTCTGTGTTTGCAGAAACCGGCAATCCTGACCACCATCGGCGTCCTGGAGGAGCCCCTCGGGAACGCCCGCCTGCACGGCGCCCGCCTCATGGCTGCCCTGCTGCACACCAACACGCCCAGCATCAACCAGGAGCTCTGCCGGCTCAACACCATGGGCTTGCTGCTGGTGAGCGGCCCGCTCCTCCTCCCTCCCCCACGCGGCAGTGGGCGGGCTAGGCAGGTGCCCCGGCAGGCCCCGCAGGCGGGCATCCGGACCTCACCCCAGGGGTGGGCCTCGGGGTGAGACAGGCCCAGGCTGACCACAGCCTGAGCGAAGTTGGGACAGCCCGGCTTCGATGCAGCTCATGGAGATTGCCCTGCGAGCAGAGGCTGGTGTCTGTCTTTCTGAGGGAGGGTTAAGAAGGTCACTCACTCCCAGATCGCTGCTCGATGCAGGACTTTGGTTTTAGCCCTTCAGCACAGAGCATCCTAGAGGAGCAGCTGCTCGCTCTCCACAGGGCACCCCAGCACTTCCTGTCAGAGCCAGGGGAGCCTGGGTGAGCCATTCAGTGCCTGGGGGAGCCTGGGTGTCTGAGGAGAGGGCCCGCCAGGCAGAGGGGTGCTGAGGCGGGGGCATGGCTCTGCGGGCACCACAGGCAGATGCATCCCCAGCTGCTCTTGGGCCTCTGCTCCCAGAAGGAGCCAGCCTTGGAGCTGGGCCTGGAGTACTGGCCTCTCCAGGTTCTTCCGATGTGGAAACCCCAGAGGGTAATGAAGGACTTCCTTTTCCTCTCCTAAACATCGTTTTCTCTTTCCCACCTCTTTCTATCTTTACTGTGGTAAACAAACACATAAACATTTACCAGCTTAATAATTTTAAGGGTTCCAATTCAGTAGCATTAAGTACATTCAGTTTATATAACCACCCCACTGTGAATCTGCAGAACTTTGTTATCTTCAAACAAGCACTGACATGAGGCAGTCTGTCCCCCATGCCCTCCCACAGCCCCTGTGAGGTGGGCTCTGAGGGCCGGTGGAAGAGGCACCGCCGTGGTGGCCCTTTGTGTCTTGCGTGTTGCACTGAGCACATTGTCTACGGGGTCCGTTCCTCCCTGCTGCAGCAGGAACCAGACGTCTGTCCTTTTATGGCGGAATCGCCTCCCCTTGTAGACAACTTTGTCCATTCTCTTCGTTGATGGATGTGTGAGTTGCTTTCCCCTTCAGCTCTTTTATTTATTTTATTTTTATTGACTTTAGAGAGAGGAAGAGAGAGTCAGCAACATCAGTGATGAGAGAGAATCATCTTGCAAGACCCCTACTGGGGATCAAACCCACAATCCAGGCATGTGCCTGTGACCGGAATCTAACCTGGGACCCTTCCGTCCCCAGACCAATGCTCTATCCATTGAGCCACACCGCTGCTTTGAATGAAGCTGCTATAAACATGGACGTGCAGGTTCCTGTGTGAGTCCAGCCTCCCTCTGGGAAACGTGCCCAGACGTGGGGCTGGGGGTCACGTGCTGTGGCCGCGCTCCGAGGGAGCGCGCTTTCTCACACGGCTGCCCGCTTCCGCCGCCGCCGGCCGCGCAGGTGCCCAGGTGCCGGCGTCCGCGTCCTCCCGATTTCCTTTTCTGTAAAAGTGGCCGCGTGATGGCTGGGAGGCGGTGTCTCGTGGTGGCTTTGATTTGCATTTCCCTCATGGTTGGTGATGCTGAGCACCTGCTCATGTGCTTCTGTTCGCCATTTGTGTCTTTCCTTTGAACAGCTGTCCAGTCCTTTGCCCATTTTTGAGTCAGGTGGTTCTTTTGATGGTTGTTGAGTTATAGGAGTTCTTTATATATTATGGATTAAGGTTTTTAAATGGATTCTTCTCAATTCTGTGGGTTATCTTTTCATTCCGTTTACACACACGTTTTTAATTTTAATGAAGTTCAATTTACCTATTGGTGTCATATCCAAGAAATCATTGCCAAATCCACTGTCATGCCACGGACTCCTTGTTTTCTTAAGAGTTTTATGATTTTAGCTCTGTCAGGTCTTCGATGCACTGTGAATTACTTTGTAAATGCCGTCTCCGGGAGGGTTCAGCTTCGTTCCTCTGCCTGTGCATGGCCATTCCCGGCACTTTCCCCACTGAACAGCGTGGCATCCTGTGGGAAATCAGGTGGCCATATATAGGAGTTTATTTCTTGACTCTCAGTTCTCTTGCCTTGGTCTCCATGTCTATCCTCACGCCAGGACTACCTGCTGCTGGGAAGTGAAGTGTGAGTCCAACTTTTTTTGGGGTCAAGATTGTTTTCTTTTGGGGATCCTTTGTGATTCCCTATGAATATTAGGATGCATTTTTCTATTTCTCAAAAAAAAAAAGGGGGAAAAAAGCCGCTGAGTGGCATTTGAAGAGACCTTCCTGAGTCTGTGGATCACTTTGGTGATGGTGTCAGCCTCCTGCCTGACCTGCGCCTTCTCAGCGACTCAGAGGTCTGCGCTCCTTGGCCGTGTGCACGTCTCTCACCTCCTGGGCTCACTCATTCCTAAGTGTGTTCTGTTTTTGGGTACTGTTGAAAATGGAATTATTGCCGAGACCGGTTTGGCTCAGTGGATAGAGCGTCGGCCTGCGGACTGAAAGGTCCCAGATTCGATTCCGGTCAAGGGCATGTACCTTGGTTGCGGCACATCCCCTGCAAGGGGTGTGCAGGAGGCAGCTGATCAGTGTTTCTCTCTCATTGATGTTCCTAGCGTTCTACCCCTCTCTTCTCCTCTCTGTAAAAAAAAATCAATAAAATATATTTAAAAACAAACAAACTATGGGATAAAGAGAAAGGCTAGAAGGAGTTAAGCTTCTAATTTGCAGACAAAAGATTGACCCTCAGGCATGTTCAGGTGCCTCTGCTTGGGCTCCGCAGAGGGAGGCTCTGGGGTGCCGCCTCACCTGCCCCTGCCCCTCCCTGCCTGTCCCCAGGACCTGTTTTTCAAGTACACCTGGAATAACTTTCTGCACCTCCAAGTGGAACTGTGCGTGGCTGCGATTCTCTCCCACGCCCCGCGGGAGGACAGTGCTGTGGCCGGCGGCCCCGAGAGAGGAGACTCGGAGAGCCCGCTGCCTGCTGCCAGCCATGCCGAGAGCACGATGGTGGCCCACGTGAGTCCAGCCAGGCGCCGGCCACACCGCCTGAGGCCCTCCCCCCTGCGTTTTCTTTTCCGATCCTCACGTGACCTGGGTGAGCGGCCTCCTTTTGACTTTGAGAGAGGAAATCGCAGAAAGAGGGCATGAGAAAACATCCTGGGATTTGGGGTCCTTTGAGTCCACATGCGTCATCCTCGACGGGACGCATCTCTCCTTTCCTTCTCCCCCGGGAGCGCTTCCCACGATGCTCCCCTCCAGGCCACTGCTTGCTTGCCTGCTAAGCCCACTCGGTTCATGGAGGGCGGAAGGGAGCACGCAGCCCCTCGGACCCTGACCAATCAGCCTGTCCCCCCAGCTATTCCAGAAGTGCTGCCTGGTCCAGAGGATCCTGGAGGCCTGGGAGGCCAATGACCACACACAGTAAGAACCACGGGGGCTGGAGTGTGTGCCAGGCCCAGTGGCCCCGGGGCTTCCAGAGGAGGCTGGGCTCCAGAGGGGCTTCTGCCGCTGCCGACACCGCTGCCGGGCTGCCAGGGCGGCCGGGCGCCCGGCCGGGAGGGCTCCTTCCCCTCAGGCTCCACCAGCCTGGCTCCCGGGCCGCCTCTCCCTTTCCTCTGCCACAGGGTGTCCCAAACCCCCTTCCCCATCCCAGCCCTGCCACTTCTGCCGCTGAGCCCTTGGGCCCTCAGAAGAGTGTCCAGGCACCCCCCGCTCCCTCCCTGCTCCCCCCGCTCCCTCCCTGCCCGTGCGGCTCTGAGCAGCGGCTCTTTCTGGAACAGAGGCTGACACTTGTGCCTGAGGTTCCTGCCGCCCGGGTCCCAGATGGCCTGGAGGGTCCACTGTGGCAGCCCTGCCTCTGCCCTCCTTCTGCCCTCCCTCTGCCCTCCCGCTGCCCTCCCTCTGCCCTGCCCTCTGCCCTCCCTCTGCCCTGCCCTCTGCCCTCCCTCTGCCCTCCCTCTGCCCTCCCCCTGCCCTCCCTCTGCCCTGCCCTCTGCCCTCCCTCTGCCCTGCCCTCTGCCCTCCCTCTGCCCTCCCTCTGCCCTCCCACTGCCCTCCCTCTGCCCTCCCTCTGCCCTGCCCTCTGCTCTCCCTCTGCCCTCCCACTGCCCTCCCTCTGCCCTCCCTCTGCCCTGCCCTCTGCTCTCCCTCTGCCCTCCCTCTGCCCTGCCCTCTGCTCTCCCTCTGCCCTGCCCTCTGCCCTCCCTCTGCCCTATCCTCTGCCCTCCCTCTGCCCTGTCCTCTGCCCTCCCTCTGCCCTCCCTCTGCCCTGTCCTCTGCCCTCCCTCTGCCCTCCCTCTGCCCTCCCCCTGCCCTCTCTCTGCCTTTCCTCTGCCCTGCCCTTTTCCCTCCCCTTCCCTCCCTCTGCCCTGCCCTCTGCCCTGCCCTCCCTCTGCCCTGCCCTCTGCCCTCCCCCTCCCTCTGCCCTCCCACTGCCCTCCCCCTGCCCGCCCTCTGCCCTCCCTCTGCCCTCCCTCTACCCTCCCTCTGCCCTCCCGCTGCCCTGCCCTCTGCCCTGCCCTCTGCCCTGCCCTCTGCCCTCCCCCTGCCCTGCCCGCTGCCCTGCCCGCTGCCCTCCCTCTGCCCTGCCCGCTGCCCTGCCCTCTGCCCTGCCCTCTGCCCTCCCTCTGCCCTCCCGCTGCCCTGCCCGCTAGCCTGGGGCTGCCTCCCTCCCGGCCTATCCCTCATCTGCTCTTACTGAACCCAAATGGCCGTGCAACCACAGCCTGGCGACTTCCCCATTGTCTGGTCTGCGTGTGTGTGTGTGTGTGTGTGTGTGTGTGTGTGTGTGTTTGTGTACAGCACCTCCCAACGCAGGCGAGCCATGAGGAGGGACTCGGGGCGGTGGGCAAGGCCCAGGCCTGGCAGCTGCCCTCATGCTGCCCTTCGTTCGCTTCCAGGGCAGCAGGTGGCATGAGGCGTGGGAACATGGGCCACCTCACCCGGATCGCCAACGCGGTCGTGCGGAACCTGGAGAGGGGTGCCATGCAGACGCCCGTCAGCGAGGTTATCCAAGGTGAGCCTGGGCGCACCTGGCTGCCTCGCCTCGCGGGGGCCTTCCCGTGGCTGGGTGTGGGCCCGGTGCTGTTCTGTTGGCAGACGTCTGTTCGCGCTCAGGGCACGCCATGCAGTTCTGAGCCAGGCAGCCCTCGCCGGCCAGGCCAGGCCTCCCCTCTGCACCCTGGGCTGCTTCCTACTTGAGAGGCAGGACCTCGCTCCGGCGGCTGGTGCCGACCCTTCCCGCATGTCCTGGCACTGTCAGCAGCTCCGGGAAGGGTCCATGTGGCCGCACTGGGGAGGAGGATGCCAGGCAGACGGAGCAGGGTGTGCCCGGGGGGGTGGACTGGGAGATGGCTAGGCGGCGGAGTGTGTTAGGGGCGAGTGTGGGGGGTGTGCAGATGCTGTGAGCCCAGAGGGGGCACGGGGTACTGGCATTCAGTTGTGCTGCAGGGGTCGTCAGTCAGACCACGGGCGTGGCCTCGCTGGACCTGGCGTGTCCCCGCCTGGCAGCCCGTGGTCGCGGGCGATGTGAGCCCAGGAGGTCCCGGAGGCGGGAGGCTGTTCTGTCAGTGCCCCGGGCTGGGGTCGGGCCTCCTGGTCCCTCTGTCGCATGAGATGGGGCCAGGGAAGGCTCCCCAGGATGGTCCAGGTGGGGAGGCGACAGCAAGTGGAAGCTCTTTGCCGTCGTCTTCCCTCGCCGTTCCCGTGGTGTGAACCGGAGGCTCCGACCTCCGAAAAGCGGGTGGGGCACGCGGGTTGTGCAGAGGCGGGCTGTCGGCCGCTTCGTTACAGGAGTCGGCGCTGCGTGTCTGTCGGGCCCCTTGGGGTCCCTCGGGCACCAGGTGAACTCAGGCTCTGGCGCCCGCCGAGTCGGCCCTGGGCCTGCCGCACAGGCCGCCTGGGGCCTGCAGTGGCGCTGGGGACCAGGCAGCACTTCCCTCGCAGGGCTGCCTGCGGATTGCCGTGGGCGCTGGGAGAGCTTCGTGGAGGAGACGCTGACGGAGACCAACCGCAGGAACGCTGTGGACCTGGTGAGGAGTCTGGTCTGCTTGTGTGTGCATCTGCGGCCGAGCGTGTGGTGCGGCGTCTGCTGTGTCCAGACACAGACCCTCTGACCACGGGCCTGGGCCATCCCCGTGCGGGCCCGAGGCCCTGAGCAGAGCTGCTGTGGCCGCTCGGTCCCATCCCTGTCGTGTCAGGAGGCCCAGTGTGGCCTGAGAGGCCTGTGCCCAGACCCAGTGAGGGCTGCAGGCAACAGCTTGCTCCTGCCAGCTCACACCCGCCCTCTGCTGTTGCAGGTAAGCACCCACCTCCACCCCTCGAGTGAGGATGAGGACATGGAGGGCGTGTTCCCTAACGAGCTGTCCCTGCAGCAGGTGCGTGTGGCCAGGCCCTTGTCCGCAGGCCTAGCGGCACTGAGCTTCTAGGCGTCCCGGGGCATCTCGCCGGACTGCCGGGAGAGGGCGAGGGGAGCGATGCTCCTTGCGCCTGGCCCTGCCCCTCGCCGTGATGACGGGAGCCTCCCCCAGGCCACTCACAAGGATGGGCCTTTGGGGACGCGGCAGGCGAATGACAAGTCAAATAGGCTGAGTGGGTGTGGCCGCACGCACACGCGCCCTGTGTGGCCGAGCGGGGGGAGCGAGTCTGAGGCCGTGCCCGCCCCCCAGGCCTTCTCCGAGTACCAGGTCCAGCAGATGACGGCCACATTCGTGGACCAGTTTGGCTTCAACGATGAGGAGTTTGCAGACCAGGACGACAGCGTCAAGTGAGCCCAGCATGTGCCTGGCTGCCTTCCTCGCACACCACAGCCCTGCTTTGTGGCATCACCCCTCCCCCAGCCCCACCCGTCCCTTCCGGAGGGTGGAGCTCGCTAGAGGCTGCCCCTTCCTCAGCCGAGCCAGGTGTGAGCTGCGTGGGAGGGCTGGGCAGAGAGGGACCCTCACAGCCTGAAGACTCGGAGAGGGCAGGGCATGCCCTATCCAGACCAGCTGCAGCAGCCAGGTTCGAGTCCCCAGGCTGCCCCCTCAGAGCCGGGAGAAAGCAAACGGCATGGGCCCACCCGGTCAGCCTTGTGCTCTCAGCCCCACTGCTCTGGGCTACAGACTCCCTCGGCCTCCGCGCTGGGCGGCCTTGAGGGGTCACCCAGGCGCCACGCGCTGAGCGGCTGCGTTCTCCTTCCAGCGCTCCCTTCGACAGGATCGCAGAGATCAACTTCCACATCGACGCCGACGAGGACAGCGTGAGTCTCCTCTGTCTGCGGGCGGTGGACAGACATGGCGGTGGGTGGGCAGCGGGGCGAGGGGCTGCTCCCCGGGAGCCCATCCCGTGTGGCTGCGGCCAGGCCTCGGGCTGTGAACACGTGGCTCCCACAGCCCAGCGCGGCTCTGTTTGAGGCCTGCTGCGGGGACCACATCCAGCCCTTTGACGACGATGAAGACGATGACATCTGGGAGGACAAGGAGACCCAGTGTGCCGCCCGGGGCCTGGGCAGAGCCAGGTGTGTGCCCGCCCGCCGCCCCAGCTCCCCGAGGGAGACAGGCCCTGTCCCGCCCGCCCGCGATGTCCCGAGCTGACTGTGCCCCCCCCAGGTTCGGGGGCCCGCCCGCACCAGAGGGCTGCCTGGAGAAGGGCCTGGCGAGTGGAGACCGGGAAGGGGCGGAAGCCAACCGGGATGTGGCTCCCGCAGAGGCTCCTCAGGCCGCTGCCCAAAAGGCCGGTCCTCGTGTGGAAGGTGGCTCGGAAGGTAGGTGCTGGGGTGCAGGGGCACAGGTGACGGAGGACTGGGTGCCCTGGCGGGTGCCCCTAGCGCCTGCACTATGGAGTGTGGTCCTGCGGGCTCCCTGTGCCCAGTGACCAGGGCTCATGCTTGGCCCTCAGCCACACGCCTAGCTGCCCAGTGGGGGCGCCACTGCTGGGTGTCTGGCTGCTCTGGGCTGAGGGCTCTGGTCTCGTCCCTGGCAGGTGCCACGTGGACGGCGTTTGATGAGCCGGCGAGCCCGACCGCCGCCGCCCCTGGAGTGGCGATGGACGTAGGCTCCAGTGTGTGGGCAGCCAGGGCCCCCAGCACCGCGGCTCTGGAGGAGAAAGGCTGGGCCAAGTTCCCCGACTTCCAGCCCTTCTGCTGGTGAGGAGGCAGGGAGGGCAGGCGGCGGTCACGCCCAGGTTGGGCAGCGTCTCCCTGCAGGGCCTCAGCCTCGGCTTTGTTCACAGCTCCGAGTCGGGGCCCAGGTGCAGCTCCCCGGTGGACATAGGACCCGGCGATGCCCAGGGCAGCCTGAGCCAGGCCCCAGAGAGAACCGGTGAGTCGGAGCACCTCCAACTTGGGCAGCGGGCGGGTGGAAGGCCTTGGAGCCACCCCTGGAGGGAGGGGCTGCCCCTGCATCTGCCTGTGCCACCGGGACCCCTGGCAGCCTTCCTCATGCCTCGCACGCCCTCAGCCACCTCGGGCAGCTGGGGGGCCTGTCCAGGGTGTCTGGCCCCGAGCCCTTTGGACAGGCCGGGAAGCCCCAGGCTGTCGAGGGCCACGTTGGGAGGCGTGGCTCTTAGAAGCAACAGGGAGGACAGTTTCTTCATGGGCAGACATTCCTTGGCAGACAGGTTCTGTCCCAAGTTTGAGGCTGAAGCTTTTGCATGCCCACCCGAGTTTGGGGCTCCTCTGCCCTCACAAGTGCCCCCCCACCCCTGTCTTGCAGTTGGCCCCGCCTCCCCGTGTGCCTGGAATGTGTGTGTCTCCAGGGACGCCCCTCTGGTAGCCTCCAGCAGTGACGAGGACGAGCAGAAGGTGGCTGTCGCCTCCGAGGCTATCAGTATGGGTCCCGGCCAGGAGGCCCCCTCACTGCCCACGCCCGTCCCCAGGTGTGCAGGATGGGGTGGTGCAATTGTCCACAGCTCTCCGCTTGCCCAGGAGAAGGTGGACCCTGTGACCCCGCAGAGGTGGCTCTGGGGAGGGATGCTTGGGGGTGAGCAGAGGACCCGAGTGTCCCACCTCAGGGACCCGAGAATGGGGCCGCCCCACCCATAGGCCCGCCTTGAAGAGAATGGCCAGGCCCTGCTGAGCCATTACACAGGCTCTGGGGTGGCCTTGGATGGCTGGGAGGGGGTTCAGCTTTTAGCCTGTCTGGTATGTGCCAAGTCCCAGCCACGTGCCCACCTAAACCAGGCGCCTTGGAAATAAATGCCTGTCGCGCTCAGACAGTGGGGGGCTATTAGGGCTTTGCAGCGGACCTCTGATGGGCGATGGCCTCTGTGCAAGCTGAGCCCCCACATGTCCCATCCCTACCCTCAGCGAGAGGCCAGGCTGGCCTGGGGGCAGCACAGAGTGTTTTGGAGACTAGGGAAGGAGTGCTGGGCAGCCTGGGGGAACGTGGGCAGTGCGATGTGACGTGTGATGTGCGGTCACAGCAGGCGGTGCTGAGTGAGATGGCGCCTTCCCACCCACCCTGGTTCCCACCTGAGGTGGAGCTCTGTGCACCCCAGGGTGGGGGTCCTGCTCTGGCTCACAGGAAGTGGGGCGGGGCTTCGGGAACAGAAAAGCAGGCCAGGCAAGGGGCAGCCTGGGGCTCCTGCAAGGTTTAGCCCCTTAAAGCAGCACTACAGTTCTCAAACCTCCCCGACCTCTCCCCTCCCCACCAGCTACCTGACAGCGGGTTCCGTCTGTTCCACATGCTGCCCACCGCACCTGGCGCAGCCCCACGAGGCCCCTCCGCAGGCTCCCGGGGTCCTTGCGAGGGTGGTGTTGACATGGCGCAGTGGAAGCATGTGCTGGGCAGGTGTGGGCCAGGCTGTCCCTGGTGTGGGAGGGCAAGTTCTGGGCAGACAAGGCCTACGGGCTGTCAGGGAAGTGCCAGGACCAAGTGTGGTCCCCAGAAATGAGGGTCCCGGGGAGCAAGGTAGGGGCTGCCTGGAGGGAGGGTGGAGGCCTGGGAGGCAGGCAGGTTGCTCTGACATGTTGGGAACTTGGGGCAGCCCAGGTCACTGAGCCCACACCTCCCCACAGGGCTGCCAGCACGCTGCCAGGTCCCACCTCCTCTGCACCTGCAGAAGCCACCTCCACCCTGGCGGGGGCTGTCGCCCCCAAGGCAGCCTCCACAGCTGTGAGCAAGGCCAGTCCTGCCCCAGCCCCCACAGGGGTGCTGGCTGTGGCAGTGCCCCCAGGGCCGTTGGTGGCCGTCACAACCACAGCTGCAGCCAGCCCAGCTGTTGCCACAGTGGCCGTTCTGGGGACAGTGACAAAGGACAGGTGAGCAGGCTGGGCCGGGGTTGGGGGGAGGGAGTAGGGGGGACTGGACAGGGACCCTTAGACCCTTAGGTTCCAAACCCTACTCCTCTCCTGCAGGAAGACGGCTGCCCCACCACCTGCAGGAGCCGCCTCCAATGGCCCTGTGTGATGCTGCCACCCAGGCAGGGCGCGCCCTTAATCGAAAACCTACCTGGTGATGCAATTTGTCTTTTTTAATTTAATTTAATTTTAAAATAAATGCTGCATTGGTAAAGCTGGCAGTTGGACCCAGTCGGACGGCCCAGCTCGCGTCGCTCCTGCCTGACCCCATGCACAGCAATAAGTCTTCAGACATGCGCTCTGCCTGCCAGAGCCCAGCCACCACCCTGGTGTCACAGGACTGAGGCGTGATGGGCGCGGATGCCACCGGCTGCCAGCCCGTTTTTACAGATTTTTAAACAACGCAGAGAGCCGTGTTTGCACTTTGTATCTGGCTGCAGTGAAGGGTCTCCCTGACTTGGGACAGATGTATGTCCAGGCCTGGGCTGGCCACACGGGTCTTAGCTGCCCAGGGGCCCTGGGAGCTGGCCTTTGAGCCAGGATGCAAAATTTGACTGCCTTAAAAATACCGAGACCCTCACAGCCCGGCAGGGGTAGCCCGGCCCTGGCACTCTGGTGCGTTTGGGCACCTGGCAAGAGCTGGCCATGGGCATGCAGGAGGGGTCATGCAGGAGGGGCGGGGGCAGAGACTGGCCCCAGCAGTGCTGGATGGGTGGGGCCAGTGCCATCGTCCAGGAAGGCCTGTAGATACAGCGTGTGATGCCGAGTCCATTTTTAATGTTCTGATCTCTGACAGGGCACCCAAACCCTAACACCCAATAAAGTTGTGTTATTCTTACAACTGCGTCTTGTGAAGCTGCACACCCTGGAGCCCATCCTGGCCAGTGGGGTTGCCTGCTGCCCGAGGCCTGCCCGTCAGAGCTGCAGGTCTCCACACCTGAGCAACAAGGAGCAAGAACACATTGAGCTTTTTCTCCTTGTGAAGCAGCCTCTGCCCGCAGCTCACAAGGGCCGCCCCGTCCTCCCTGGCCAGGCGGGTGGGGCAGCTGAAGGGCAGTGTCTCCCTCCAGGGTCTGTGCCTGGCTACTGGTAGGGAGGAGGGTCTCCCAGGAAGCCCTGGTGCCACTGCTTTGATGACTTCCAGCTTACGCCCGACCCCAGGGAGCAAGCTTCATGACCCCACAACATCCAGGCACAGGACCTCAAGCCTGTCAGTTTCCTGGGTGTTAGAAACGGTCCCACAGCCATCAGCCTGGCATGGGAGGACCTGGGGGTCCCACTCCTACCCCAACCCCTACCCCTACGCTGGCAGAGGTCCCGCCTGCACCTGTGTCCGCCTCTGCTTATCATCTTCTCGACAGATGCCACCTCCACCTAGGCCCTCACACCACCAGCCCCTCTGCAGTGTTCTCTCAGCTCTAACATCCATCCCCCACCCCCACAGGTGAGGCCGGGCCGGTGGGGCTCATGTCTGAATGGGTCATCAGGAACAGTCAGTGCCTCAGAGCCACGCCGGCTCCATATATGACCCTCTTCCCCACATCCTTGGGCACCCTCGCTCCCAGCCCACCCTCCTAGCACCTCCTTTGATCTGACCAGCAACCAGCATGTATCAGAGACCCCATCCTCCAGCCCTCCGCCCAGTCTGCCCTCTGGACAGCTTCCCAAGAGCCATGCAAGCAACCAACTCCACCTCCCCTTACGGAAACCACTGCCTCGTCGGCACCAGGGACATCCTCAGGCTCTGGACCCCACAGCCCCCGCCGCCAGGGAGATGGGGGCCGGGACCAAGCTGGGACCTGGCGGAGCCACCCAGGGCTGTGCATGCCGACCTGGTCCTTTCCGCTGGGAAGCCGAGGCGAGCAGGCGGGTGGCACATAGTTAGTTCTCTTTATAGACTCTGTTGTAGGAACAGGGTGCCTGCGGGCCGCCGGGGCCACCACGCGGACAGGGCGGGACTATTTACAGGCCCACCCAGAGGGCTGTACCATGGCGCCTCCCGCCAACGCTCAGCCAGGACTCCAAAATGGGTCAGAGCTGGCCAGGCGGGCGGGGTGGGCAGGGTGGGAATGGCAGGGGCTGTACACACAAATTCGGGGGCTGGGCCTCAATACTGTCAAGGGTGGGGGCTGTAAACATGGCCGGGGGGCCCTGCCCACCCCTAGTGGTCTGTAACTGGACACAGCGCAGCAGGGCTGGGCTCAGGCGTCTGACAGGCAGCTCTGGATCTGGTCCACCCACTGCTGGGCCGACAGCACGTCCTGGGCACAGAAGTTGTAAACACGACGAGTCGTCTTCACCTGGGGAGGGTGGGCAGCTGAGTCCTCGGCCCGCCCACCCGCCCACCCGCCCGCCTTCCTCCTGCACCCTGGCCACAGCTCACGTCGAAGAAGGCCTTCTCGTCCACGGTCTTGGGGGCGCCCATGGTGGGCGTGCCAGGCACCACGGCCTCCACCTCCGCCAGGTCGATGACCCCCTTGCACTCTGTGTCCGTGCGGTGGTCGTAGTAGCGCAGCTGAGGGGGACAGGACGTCAGGGCAGGTCCTAGCCCCTGCCCGCCCTGTGCCCACGGACCACTCACCTGGTGCTTCGTCTTGTCCAGCACGAACCAGCGGGCCTTCCAGGGCTTCATGAAGGCCCCCTTCTTGTAGAGGGTGCCCTCATAGGACCTGCATCGGCAGCGGAGCCGGGGCCATGAGTGCCCAGCCAGGCCCAGCTGTCCCCTCCCCTCCTGGCCAGTCCTAGCAGCAAGACCAAGGCCCCTGTCCCCAAAAGACCCGAGGCTGGAGCACTGACCAGGGAGCCCCAGGAAAGTGGAGAAGAGCCCCCCACATCAGCCTCGGGTGTCCGTGAAGCAGCCCCGCACACAGGGCAGGTGCCGTGGAAGAGGAGGAACATCCAGCAGCTCCCCAGGCCCTGGCCTCACCGGGAACCTACTCCAACCTCACCTGGCACCCTGCCTGCCCTCACAGAGCCCATAGACCTGTCCCTCTGCTCTGCAGCCACCTTCTGGGCTGGGCTGTGGTCACTGGTTCTGTATCCCAAACCCTTTCCAAGCCACTATCGTGTCCTTAGCAACTGAGCTGATGCTCAGCCACCATGGGGTTCCCCCACAAGTCCTTTCCCTGGAGAATGACTAGACCTTCCCCAAAGGCCCCAGCCCAGAAGTGCCCCGCCCGCGGGGAGCTGCCTCACACCTGTTCTCACTCTCGGCAGTCTGGAACTGGCTGTACAGGGTGCTGGTGCTGCGGCGCGCGGCCTGGCGGGAGCCGGACGTGGTGGAGCCACTGCTCTGGTCACTGTCCAGGCTGAGGCTCAGGGTGGAACCCACAGGCCCCTCCTGCAGGTACACACCCAGCGAGCGGCGGTGGTGGGGCACACTGGACACCAGCAGAGAACTGGGGGTGCCCTGGGGGCAAGAGATGGGCCTGTGTCAGCGCCGGGCAGCCTGAACCACCTCCTGGCACCAAGCCGCCCCCCCAGCCCCTCACAGCCGCCCCTGCTCACACGTCCGTCTGGCCGGCCTTCGAGGCGTTGGGCAGCCTTCACCCGATCCCAGCTGTCCTTCCACCGCTCGGGGGGCCGGCCCAGCTCGGTCTCCAGCCGCTGCAGCTCCTGGGGAGAAGGAGTGAGCTAGCATTATTCAGAAGAAGTACCAACCCTGGGACATGAAACGGAAAAGGAAGAAAATACAGGAAAGTGAGAAAGTAGGAAAAGGGCTAACGTGTAACAGAACAAAAGGAGAAGGGGGGACAGGTGCACGGAGGTGCAAAATCTAAACTTCAACTGGAAGTTTTACCAAACAAGCAAGAGGTATCACAACAGAATCAGGGCACGACCAATCCAGCAGGCTAAGGCAGGAGAATGGCTGGAATAGAGAAGCCCGATCCCTCCCAGAAAGTGGCATGCTCGCTCAGAACGCAACAATGCAACTGCCGGCTGCTGTGCCCTCGGAGGCGGGACATCCACCTCTGGCCACAACAGTGTCCGGCTCCTGACCGGCCACCATAGGTACCCATGGGCCGGACAAGTGCGGCCGGAGGCCCTGAGATAGTGACACCAGGGCCACGGCCACAGACGGGCGGCAGAGCCCGAGCCAAGCACTGAGGGGCGGAGGGGCGCAGCCACCAGGAGGCTGGAGAGGAGGGATGGCACAGAAACCACACGGAGGCCTCCTGAGTGTTTGGCCCAATTAAACTGCCACGTGCCAGGCAAGGCGTCTCGAGGCCTAAGCATCTACTAAGGACCTGAGAGCTAAAGCTCAGGGGACGCACTGCGGCGAGATAAAGGAATGGCACACCCAGGGCAAGCTCTGGCGAGGCCCCGTCTGTGGAGCAGGCTCCTCTGAACCAAAGGGAAGGTGTCTCTCGAGCGGCCCTAACAAAGCTGAGAAACAAGCCCAGGAAAGACCCGCTGACACAAGCCCATTAGCTGCCTACAAGAATAAAATTCAAGACACTTTCAAGGAAGACAACACATTCCTGATGCTCAGCAATATGGAACCCACAATGTCCAGCTTATAAAAAATTATTAGACAAGCAAAAATGCAGGAAAATGCGATCCATCCTTAGTGGAAAGGTTAAAAGAAACAGCCCCCAAAATGAAATTGGTATTATAGTGACCAAACAAGAAAAGGAAAAGTTATGTTTTAAGATTTAAAGATGGACATAATGATTGAACAGATGGGAGCTCTCCTGAGAATATAACTATTAAAAAAAATTCTAGAGCTGAAAACATCTAAAATGAAAAATCAGACAGGCTTAAGTGCACATAAACATAAGAAGAGAAATAAACTTGAAGACAAGATAATAGAAATGCTCCAAAATGAATTGCAGAGGGAAATTAGCCTAAATGACTAAAAAAAATAGGAGGGAAAATAGCCTAAATGACTGGGAAAATCAAGTCCCAGAGGAAAGAAGGGAGAATTGTGAAGAAAAAACTTTAAAAGAAATAGCCTAAAATGTATTAAACATGTTGAAAACTACCATCTCATAGATTAAAAGTGCTCAAAGAGCTCCAAGCAGAATGAACACAGAAAAACCATGTGACGGTCAAATTGTTGAAACCAAAGATGATGAGAAAAACCTTAAAGGTAATGGGGGGGAGGGGAGGGGTGTGTGTGTGTTTTATGTAGTTTATAAGCATAAGAATGAGCACCAGCTTTTAATCAGAAACACTACAAGCCAGAAAACGTTTGGAATGATATTTTTAAACTATTGAGTATAAAAAGCCGTCAATCCAGAATCCTACACACAGAAAACACCCTTTAATAATACAGGTGTTTTAATAAAAATAAAACACCTGTATTTTATAAAAATGCAGACATTTTCAGGGGAACAGAAGCTGAACTGGCAGACCTGCACTACCAGAAACAGCCCGTGTCCTTCAGGCCAACGGGGATGAGACCAGGTCAGATCTACAATCAAAGAGCAAAGACTGAACATGGCAACTACAGAGGCTTTTTCACGTCCTAATGTCGTCAACACCAGGCTATGTAAACACCACCCCTACTGTGTCTCTGCCCCAGTGAAGTGACCTCAGTGTCTCTGCCCCAGTGAAGTGAACATGACAGAAAGGCGTGATGAGGCAGGTGCTGCTGACTGGGTCCGTGTGTAAGGTGGCAAGATTGTTCAGTCATCTCCTTACCCCAGAGACACGTGCCAAGACCCCCAGCAGATGTCTGAACCGTGAACAGTACACCAAACGGCCACCTATACTATGTTTTCTCCTGCACAACATACCTGCAGTAAGTTTTAACTTACAAATCAGGCATACTGAGAGATTACCAATCGTAATAATAAAGTTGACTTACGCGTTGTAGGAAGTTATGTGAATGGGT